CGTACAATTGACAAACTCACATAGGTTATGTTTACTACTTAAGAACAGCTGATGAGAGGGGTGTTATGTAAACAAACATGTGTACCAACTGTTGGTGATGAAATATTTCATTTGTTGAAAACTCAATATACATATATATAATATAATGATACTATATCTTGAAAACAAGAGCTAATATATAATTTTTATGGTCACTTTCGGTTTTAACACGTGGAAATACATTAAAATCATCTAATTTCAACCCCGAAACAAAAACTTTGTTGTGTTGTGATAATTAGGTATATACGTATGTAGCATGCATTTTATTCATTTTTGTAGTATATTATAAAACCATTTATATAAAATATCGACATTATTGAGACTGCACCTGAACGGAAGTCCTTTGGAATGATGAATTCAGTGTACACACTTTCATTCAACACACCCCATAGAAAAATTCAAGTGGCGTGAGATCCGGTTATCTCGGTGGCCAATCCCACGGCCCTAAACGCTTAAACCAACGATCGTCAAACATTTCGTTTTGGAATGATTCACTCAGAACGGTATGTTTTTCTCGAATTTTGGGGTGTATGAAAATACACCATTCAAGAAAAAATGGCATCAATATGAACAGGGTGGCACAAAATACATCATTTAAGAGAAAAACATAACGTTAATACTAATATAGCTATAGGAGTTCTGAACCATTACTTAAACACGTGCAAATTTAATCAGGTCCATTCTGGCGTTTTTTGGACCTCAGGCCCAGTTCACACGGAAGGGACAAAGGTCCGCGCCTCGTCTTCGCCAGACGACCATTCTGTGTGAATTGAGCCTTAAACTTTCAGAGACCACTACTTCACTTTTGCCGTCATTCAGTCAACCAATCAGAAGCTACCGCACATATAGCGGGAAATTCAAACCACTAGTAGATGAACAAGGCGGGCTCTGGCACAAATCCCACGTATTTTATTATGGAGTTGAACTTTTTGCAATTTTCATAACATCCGAGCGGAACCTTGTGGACCACCCAACTCGAGGTAGGTGTATTTCGGAGAGTGGGAGAGAGAACGTGTGACGTAATCGTTGCAGAGAAGGATGGAATGAGTGTCGGAGGAATTCAAAGAAATCCGTAGAATTTTAGGAAAGTTGTAACGCCATTTCCATGTAGAAGATAGGAAAATAATCTTAGATATGGGGAAGAATTGATGTTTCATATAAGGGGCCATCCATAAAGTACGTCACACGAATTTTAGGACTTTTGAACCCCTCCCCCCGTCCTTGTCACAGGTTGTCACATTTTTATAACTAATTCACATCCAAACTTTGCGTTTTAGTATTTTAAATTTTAACATATGATGTCACAAAACTATTGACCCCCCATACCCCTTGTCACACGATGTCACACTTCGGTGATACCCTCCCTCCCCATTAACGTGTGACGTACTTTATGGATGGCCCCTAAGGGTGTTTGTGTGTGTGGTGTGGGTGTAAGAGTGAGATATACGTCGCTAGGGCAAGGACAGGTTCAGTGTTGCCGACTGTAAAATAAATCGTTGTTCATGGTGTGATGTAGCGTTGCCGGTTTCAAAATTAGGCATGAACGGTTAGGAATACGACTTGATAAAAATTGTATGTTAATGAGCTGAAAACGACTAGGAGGGTCTTATGTTTAAAGGCGCGTTCCAACATGTCAGAAATACACAAGGTCGTATCTTCGTTAACAAAGTTAGCATCATCAGAAGAAGGAGGAAATGGCACCCAAAAGTGTCGGGGAGATACGTGTTGTGGAGTTAACGTTCAAAGATGGGGACAATGGGGGAGCGAAGTTTTCGACAATAACATTTCAAAATAATTTGTTTTGCGTACGTTTCGGCCGTTTTAGGTGCGTTTCGACCGTTTTGCGTGAGTTTATTCGTTATCGTTTCGTCGTCATTGTCGTTTCTTTTTTTCGTTGTTGTTTTGCGTGCGTTTCGACCGTTTTGCGGTTTTGCGTTTCGTTATATTTTCGTTTCGTTTTCCGTTTTTTTATTTTTCAATATGACAGTCGTCTATCACTTAACCAAGTAAGCATCATCAGGAGATGACTAAAGTCCATGCTTTGTCATATGAAGGTTCATTTTGCGAATTTTCAGACTCCTGAACGGAACCTTGTGGAACACTCAGCCTAACTTATGATACACTTTGAAAGTGGGAGGTGGTGGC